GAACCACTTCATGCCAAATCAAAATGTTGGCAAGAGAGGGTCAATGACCACTGTTTCCTGGTTCCTCCACGACTCAATCCTTTGGTTCTGTTTGCACATGCTTTAGGATTATTTACCCTTTATAAAATAGATTCAATATTCAGAATCAGTTACAATTTTAGTGTGTCTCAAACATGTGAGACTTTATTGTTATTATTTAAATTATGAATCCTAGAATCCTAGAGTTGGAAGAGACCATCCAGTCCAACCCCCTGCCAAGAAGCAGGAAAATTGCATTCAAAGCACCCCCAACAGATGGCCATCTGTTTAAAACCCTCCAAAGAATGAGCCTCCACCACACTGTCAGTCAAACAACAGAAATTTGATCACATCCTAAAAATAGGATGTTACCTTTATTAGTAGAATTCCTCTTTGGTTTTCCAGAGAAGGAACCCATTGTTAGGCATTGCTAGGTGTAGCACCTGTGCAGCTACTAGAGATTTATCATTAACAACAACAAGCCAACTTTCCTTTCAGCTCGAGGCAGGGCACAACACAGTCACATCTATAAAATCACATATTAAAACATAATTAAATTGCAAGCATATAACTGATTTCCAGTTAAAAGCAGTTTTTTTGGCGGGGGGGGGGGGAATGACTTCAAATGACAATGCAAATTTTGATTGCATACTTTTGTTCCATTACTTGAAAATAAAGGATGGGTGAATTTAGAAGACCCATTCTATATAAAAATGTAAAAAAAAAAGAATAGAATGTCAACAGCACGCACAAGGCAGTTAATATTTTCTGTATTATTGGGGCACCAAATCTTTTAAAATCTGAACTTTAAGGGAGTTATCCAAGGTGTGGAACATATTTCAAGCCAGGTTCCCCACGTTGGATAGTTCCTTGAAGATTCAGATTAAACCCAATGTAGCTTCACCACTGAATGGACACCAAAGTCATCAACCATTGCTGCAAATGCAAATGGTAGTGTTATTTGTATTCTAAATGTATTTACATAGCAGTAATTTCCATTGCAACAAACCAACTCAGTTATGAAAACATAATGGTGAAGATCATTGTTACATATTTACTTCCGAATAACTTTATTTGACTTCAGCAATTGATATTTTGAAGTAAAAATAGAATAGGAATTGTAATCCCTATTCTTCCATATGGAGTGATTACAAAACAACTTCTATACAGCAGCTATTAATTTGAAAGCTACTCTTCTGGTAGTTTGCCAGGGGAGGATTCTCAACAGTCCTCTTTGGCTACAAATGTCATCAGTATAGGTCTGGTCACTTTTGCACTATTTGGTTGAAGCATCTCACAATCTTAGAGTCAACATAAAATAGCATCCTATTAGTATTTTTATTTGTCGTGTCAGGAGACTTGAGAATCTGCAAGTCACTTCTGGTGTGAGAGAATTGGCTGTCTGCAAGGATGTTGCCCAGGGGACGCCTGGATGATTTGATGTTTTATCATCCTTGTGGGAGGCTTCTCTCATGTCCCCGCATGAGCTGGAGCTGGTAGAGGGAGCTAATCCATCTCTCCCTGATTCAAACCTGCGACCTTGTCGGTCTTCAGTCTTGCCAGCACAGGGGTTTAACCCACTGCGCCACCGGGGGCTCTATCCTATTAGTGACATAATTGAAAGTTGCACAACAATCGAAACTCTACAGGTCTCCCTTTCTTGTGGGGGCCCTCCCTCCATGGCTATTCAATTGAGAGGTCATTAATAAAGCATCTGGATATGATCCTATAACCAACAACAGAAGCATCTTGCCTAGTCTCAATGGGCCCTCTATAATTCCTGGAGGATGACATTGCCATTGTGTGTCTGGTTATAAGTACATAGCCAGATGCTTATTTGATGTCTCCCCTATCCTACACTATCCATCGTCCTGGTCAGAACTGTCCAATATGTTTCTCAGTACAAGATCTCAGCCACAGACCAATATCTTGGTGGATGCAATTTTGGGCAGCCCTTCACACACATGGCTTTGTAAGAGTTTGTAAACCTTCAGACCAAGGCAGTGTGGTGACTCTCCCATAAAAACAATATGCAGGCTGAATGGATTTGTAAGTGGGGTTGGGCCAACCATCACTCCATCTAAAGTCATGCACGCTGACTTCTTGGGTGACATTAGGATCATGCTTAGTGAGTGTAATACTGCTCATGCTTTCATTGAATACACAAGGACTTCTTCTAGAGGCAGTAGATCAGCACTTATTTGGTCACCATTCTAGGGTATGCTTGGTACATTTTGAATTGGCCCCAATTCAAATACAAAGTTCTTTCTTTCCATCTATGTTTATATACTGGGAATTTTCAGACACTGAGAGAATTCATATGGGTTTGTCAGAGATCACACACATACCTACCTATAGGAAAGGAATGAAATGCACTTGCTGAAAACAATTAAAGTAGTATGAAATAATGTGAAACACACTGAATCAATCTGTTTACTTCTTTTAATGAACAAAAAGAGAGAAGTCTTATCAGGGTAGGAATGAATAAATTAATAAAAGCATAGTAAAGCACAGATATAAAGCCTGTTCCTCTAAATTAACCTTTTGAAATGTGAGGTCTTCCACGTTTTGGACTACACTTTTCATCAGTCCCTGCCAGTCTGGCCAATGGCCAGGGAAGATAGTGATTGTAGTCTACAACATCTGGAGGTGCTCGGGTTGGGAAACACTGCTGTAAATCATCTGAGAACCTAGTCATTTGAAAAACCACCATTGTATATTCATGGTCCATGTACAATAATAGCCTTGGGTTTCAATGACTATCACAGGAAAGTCTTACAAGTCGTTTTTGCTCTTTATCGAACATGGTGTTCGTCTTTAGGCCTTAGCCTAGTTGTTTTAACTTAATCTTTGAGGTTTGTGAAAGGCATAGTAATAAAGCAATCAATCCCCTTTAAACTCAATTAGACTTACCTCTGAATTAATTTGGAGAGGATTGTGCTGCTCTCCATAATTTAAACACTTAATGGGATGTGTTCAACAATTATCTGAACTCGCTGTCAAAAGATGTCCTTTTACTTTGATGGCAGCTATAAAAAATACCAGTGGATTTTGCTCAGCATAGACCCCCACTTGTGCTCTCCCTACCTTACTCCAAACATCCTGATATTGCAAACAAACATCTTGATCCTCAAACATTAACGGTTCCTCACAAACTAACCTGGGATTTAAAAAGTAAAAATGAATCGCACATAGGATCATTTTCAGCTTGAACACTTAGCAAATCTGCCAAATCCATCTGGGGCCCATATGTGCGGTGAAGCAGGTTTCCAGGTGTGTTTTTGAGAAAAGTGGCTCAGTTAGTGTCTGTAAATTGGTGTTGCTTGGACAATCCAACTGCCAGGGTTCTGGGTTGTTGTAGGTTTTTCAGAATATATGGCCATGTTCCAGAAACATTCTCTCATGATGTTTCTCCTGCATCTATGGCAGGCATCCTGTTGTGAGGTCTGTTGGAAACTAGGGAAATAGGGTTTATATATCTGTGGAAAGTCCAGGGTGGGAGAAAGAACTCTTGTCTGTTGGAGCTAGGTGTTTCAATTGACCACCTTGATTAGCATTTGATGGCCTGACAGTTTTTCAACAAAGGGTTCCCCCAAGCAGTAACAAGTCACACCTAATCAATGTGGCCAATTGAAACATTCACACCTAGCTCCAACAGACAAGAATTCTTTCTCCCATCCTGGAGTTTTCACAGATATATAGACCCAATTTTCCTAATTTCCAACAGACCTCACAACCTCTGAGAATGCCCGCCATAGATGCAGGCGAAACGTCAGAATGCTTCTGAAACATGGCCATGTAACCTGAAAACCTACAACAACCCAGTGATTCTGGCCTTGAAAGCCTTCAACAATACATAGCCAGGGTTCTGTGCATAACCCTTAATTTCAAAAAAATCACATTGAAATCCTGCAGATTAGCATTTGGGGGAAGAAGGGGGAAACAGGATTCAGTTCCTTTCTGCCTCCCCTAGGAAATAGACAGATGTATTTATTTTTCTTTTTAATGGTCCACTTGTGTGCAATATCAGAAGCTTTGCAAATGTTGCACAACAATCGAAAGTAATCTGCCATTCCCTATCCTCCTTTCTTTTAATTGAGGATGGAATTGATCCCAATAGCCTTTTATGAAATTTAACAATTCTTTAAAAAGGAACAAATGTTGGAAGAGTACAAATTCCCTCGACAGCAGGAAAAGATATGCACTCTAGTAGAAGAATTGTGGCTGCTGAGCATATCAGTGGACTTCCCTGCACATGGCTGATGTGGATGCTGATATTATATTTGGTTCTCCATCAAAAACGCAAAAGTTACTTGTTGAAACAACAGCTCCCAATTTTTTCAGCCAACGTGGCTAGAGAGAGTTCTCGTTCTTAAAAATATTTTTCCCAACTTTTACCACATTGGGTTATTGTAGGTTTTTCAGGCTGTATAGCCATGTTCTACAAACATTCTCTCCTGACGTTTCGCCTGCATCTATGGCAGGCATCCTCAGAGGATGCCTGCAATAGATGCAGGTGAAATGTCAGGAGAGAATGCTTCTAGATCATGGCCACGCAGCCCAAAAAACCTACAACAACCCCATGATTCTGGCCATGAAAACATTCAACAATACATTTTACCACATTGTTCATCACTTCACAATACCTATTTGTTGATAAAATAGTTGTGTGTACAATTAGTCCAGGACATGGACCATGAAAAAGGATTTGCTCCTTCTTTTCCCTGCTCTGAAAAAAAAAAACCCTCCCTGTATGGAAATGTATGATGTCCTAATCAATATTGACTCCAAGGGGTTAGTAAGTCTTTGTTCTAAAACAAAAGTTTGGAGTTCCAATGTATCTAGAAGTATACATGAGGGAATTGTTTTCCACAAAACTGTATTTTAAATCTATTTGGGAGGGGGGGGGGGTAAATGGAACAAAACATGGAGTCAGGTAGCTTATGTCACAATCAGGAAAAACAACATACAAAGCACATGTATATAGCAAAAATTATAAAACATGTATTTGTAGTGCAAGTTGAAAATACAGGGACTCTACTCGTACTGGCCAGCTAGAGGGAAACACATGGTTCTGAGTGATCAACAAGAGTCCCCAAATTCAAACTCTTCAAAGTTGACAGTATTAACAGAGTACAAAAATATGGTGAAAATTTACACATTACACATAAAGTACTTAATTTTTAATAGTTTACATTAGAGGTCTACAGTTATGTTTCCAATTAAGCTGGCTTCTTACTACCCACCTATTGTAGTACTATAGGTATGGTTACATTATACCAAGAAACAAACAATCCCAAAGCAAATAGCTATACAGCAACATATTAAGGTCTGAAGATTAGACCAGTACATATTAAATATTTCACTGATTTACTAAATGGACAGTTTATTCATTTACAGTTTGCTTCTTTTTTAAAAAAAATCTTAATAAACTAGTCTTTGAGACTGAAACAAAATGTCCTTTATTAATACGTTTTTCAGATTTTTTTTTTAAAAAAACAATGGTATGAGGCTTTACATAAAGCCATTCTAGGCTCCTGGGAAGAAAAACAAGGTATGTGTGGCTTTTTTAAAAAGGCAGACTTCCTTTGTAATGTAATATCAGACTACCATTTTAATTGAGCTGAACTTGTCGTTCCAGGACCTTTTTGAGCTCATGTTCCCAAGGCATTACCCATGTTTCTAACAGTTTATTTGGTCTGCACATTTGTGTCTCTCCTCCCTCCCTGTTCCCCTCCCCTCCCCTCCCATGGCAATGACATAGTCTCGTTTGATCGTATTACATAAAAATAAATAATGCACTCTTAATTCTAAAAACTACAAAGAACAGATTGGGTGTCTATGGCATGACAACACAGAGATCAAGTAAGCCACGGGACAGATACAGCAACTCCACTTAAAGGGATTTTTCCTGTTTTTTTCCTTTCACATAAGACTTTAACAAATTCTTCCAGTGTTTTATTTTAAAAAGGTTTTTTTCGTTTTTTCTTTTCTTTCTTGTATTTTTTTGCCTTTTTTCCTTTAAAAATACTTCTTGTCTATCTCACTAAACATGTTGTTGAAATGTAGAATAAGGCCTTCACGGTTTTGCATCAGGTGACAGTTTAAAAACAAGACAAAACACAAAACAATGAAACAAACTCTCAAACAAGTCGGACTTAGTACCGCTTTTTTCCTCTTTTAAAAAAACACTGATGATCCTATGTGTTCTTTAGTGTTGTTGTTGTTTCTTCCTTTTTGCATGTTTCTTTTTTCTTTTTCCTTTCCTTTCTGAGGAGAGAATGCACATGCTGTGGTATCCCTTAGCTGCATTTGCAAGACTTTACAATCATGTTAGAAAGCTGTTCAATTTTGGGTGTTTTCCCAATGAAATACAAAATAGTGAGGGGTTCTAGATCCTGGGATACACAACATGGGGATGCAGATGCTTCTGGGTTGATAGTATTATACAAGCTGAGTACCTAGAAGGAAAGGAAACATATGAAAATATTTCTATTTCACATATAAAATCACATTTCTATGGTTTCAATTGATTACAAGGTTGTTGTTGTTTTCCGTGCCAGGAACAACTTGAGAAACTGCAAGTTGCTTCTGGTGTGAGAGAATTGGCTGTCTGCAAGGACATTGTCCATGGGACGCCCAGATGTGTTTGATGTTTTACCATCCTTATGGGAGGCTTCTCTCATGTCCCCACATGGAGTGCTGGAGCTGACAGATGGAGCTCTCCCCAGATTAGAACCTCCGACCTGTCAGTCTTCAGTCCTGCCCTCACAAGGGTTTGACCCACTGTGCCACGGTAGTTGATTTGACAATATTTAGGTCCCAGATTATCTGATTTAAACTGCATTATATGAGTCTCCTCTGACAGATAATCTGGGATAAGAAGAAAATCTAGGATCAGATCCTGGGATATAGTGACACTGTGGAAAGGGTCTTTCGAGAACCCTTAGACAAGTTGACTAAAGAAGACTGTAGTAACTAGAATAAACTGTCTAAGATTTAGTTCAATATCTTATTTCCAAAGTAGCCAACCAGATGTCCAGAGATTGCACACAAGAAGATATGGGGACAAGCCCTCCCCCATACAGCTTGGAAAAGATCATGCTGTCTTGGGAAATTTGGGAGATATTTTTTTAAAAAACTTTCTCAAGCTCTGGTGCTCTTCAACAACTTGCATTCAGAGGTATTGTTCCTCTGAATCAGAATAATCAGAAGTACCGTAGGAACAAAGATTGGAGGCTTTCATCTCTTTATTATCCCATTATATATATATTAAAAGTTTTCAATGAGACTTACTCTACTATGTTGAGTATCAGAGCTCCATAAATATGGACATGCTCCTGCACAGAAATTTGCATTGTATCCTTTAGGTTCGTGTATCCATTTCCACCCAAGATCCCGCTTGAAGTCAATATAAAATGAACGCAGGCAGCAGTTATCTTGAACGTTCCTGAAAATGCAGAAAAAGACTAATATGTTACTACAATAAAACTGGAGCTGAGACTGCAATCCAAATACACTTTGCCCCTTGGTGTATTTTAAGGTGGAATCAATCTGAGACCCAAAGAGAGTTTATTGTAATTTATTAAAATATGTATTTCCTATCTCATATCAAAAGCTCTGAGGTTGAGTTATAGAAAAAAAACAGGTAAAACAACATAAACGTGTTTAAAACTATGCACACTGCATAGTTAGGCCATAATCTCTTGACCTCAAAAGATTTGGTGAAAAAGTCAAGTTTTAACATGGCATCTAATTGGGATTACAAGTGGAAGGCATTCCACAGCCAAGGCACCAGAACTGATAAAGTCCTTTGCAGAAGTTTCATTATAAACCCTTTGCTCTGTTTCTCTCATTTCCTGTAGCTGACATTTTTGCAAAATAATACACGTCAGCACATTCTGACATTAGGACAGTCTAATGTTGCGAAACCCACAAACAATTCTTAATAGATACAGGTGCTTAATTTTAGAATCAGTCATTTATGGTCTTGACCCAGAGGATGTCATAGGCTGGATCTACACTACCAAATAGTTCAGAAAATATACATATACATACATACATACATACATACATATATATATATATATATATATATATATATATATATATATATCCCTATTATCTGTTTTGAACTGGATTATATAATAAATAAAAATAATAAATAAAAAAAACCCTTTATTTATATTCCGCCCTATCTCCCCAAGGGGACTCAGGGCAGATTCCAATGGGTAAAAAAGGCAAACATTCAATGCCTTGATAAGACCATAGATACAAATACAATAAACGCAGAATAAACCAGACATCTAAAACCAAATTAAACACACAAATCTAAAATTTAATAATAACATAACCCAACAATTAAATTATATCTAATATAAAAACAAAAATACAATTTGTAAAACTACCCAAGGTTTATTTACAGTATTTAAAATCAGTCATGTGGCCAGTAGTGTCAGCAAGGCCAACAGAGCTAACAAAGCCAGTATGTAATAGCGATTTTTCAAGCGAGCCTATTATCTGTGCATCATCATCTACACTATATGAGTCTACACTGCAATATAATCCAGTCCAAAGCAGATGATCTGGATTTTACAAGGCGGTGTAGATGGGGCATAGATACCAGGTGACCAAAAATGCTAGCCTTGCCCATCCACCACCCAGTGAGCACCAGAAAGTATCCCAGTGTAGACAAGAAAGAAAGAACCAAAAAATAATCCTGAATCAAGAAAAAGAATCTCCTCTCACACAGAGAACCTCAACATGCAGACATCCGTACGTGCACAGGAGGCCATCTTCCCACTGTCTGGATGAACAACAGACTGTGAAAAGAATGTGTGTCTTCCATGCTTACATTTAGCACAGAAAACACATGTACACATACACACACAGCTGAAAGTATGAATGCAGAATTACTTTGAAGACGGCTTTCAGTGTGTAATTGATATTGTTACTGGAAGCCAGCAGTACACTTTTATTATTAATTCTTATTAATGAGCAGATTACCATAAAAATTAAGCCTTTTTTAAGTCAGTGAGGCTTACAAATGCTTAATCATGCTCCTTAAGTATGATGATTTCATCCATGTTATTTCAAATATGAGAAACTGACTTGGAACGGTTCAGGCCAAAAGGAATAGAAAGGAACAATGGAAATTAGTCTTATGAACAGAGTTGAAACAGAATCTTGATGCCTTTTGGAATCTTAGGGGTATTTCGATATTTAAAATTATTTAAGTTCATATTTCATGATCCTGTTTTAAATACGGCTATCCAAAATGAAAACAAAAACTGTCTGTCATCAAATTTTAACTCCGTGTACAATCAAATTCTTTAAAGAATGCTATTTTTATTCCAAAAAAGCATCTTAAACCTGAATAATTAAGAATACATACAGTTTTCTAACCCATTTTCAAATAAAACCTTTTTCAGTTACATTTTTTCTTTAACTTATTTATTTATATATTTGAATTGTATTTCAAATTCACACATGGCATCTGGATTTAAACATATTTAGCCCACAATGATGCTACCATGAAAGTTAACCATGGTTCTAAATACTTCCCTTTGAAATCAATGGGCTTGAAAATAGTAACTTTTTACAGACATTATGTGACTTGAGTTGTAGCATCTTTATCTATGGCCATCTTCTGTATTAACTACCTCTGTTCATGTGAACTCAAATCATTTTTCTCTTTATAGAAGATTCAAGCAACAGTGTGGACCAAAGGCCAATTTTCTCATTCTGGTTTTAAAAACATATGTTATTGTTTAACCATCTTTTGAAATAAGGAGTTGCCATTCCAAAAGGTTTCCAGTAGTCATTTCACTCCATACATGTATAGCACATTGATACTGCTTTAAGTGCAATGGCCACATCTTATGGAATCCTCTTAAACTACAAATCCCAGGATTCGACATTGCCATGGCAGTTAAAGTGAGATCATCATTCTTACAGTTGTGCAAACTGAAAGGGTCCCAGGAGTGGCCAGAAAAAAAGGTATCCAGTGGAGGCCACATTTTTAGGTGGAACCACAAACAATACAAGAAGTGCTCCTTGCCCACCCGTGATTTGCAGAAACCACTACGCTATTAATCAAATTTGTTGCAAAATTGCAATATGAAAACTCATATCATGTCATGTTATTCCCTAATATACCACAGGAACTAATGAGAAACCGTGACATAAACTTTAAGATATTTCTATGCATGCACAGATATGTAGCATTTCAATCCATAGTTACCTAAAGCAATAGGCTGCATCTAGAGCACGCTTCTTCCGCCGACTGGACTGTTGTGACTCAAGTCTGTAGGAGGGTAATAACATTAGCAGAAGATGTGGGTTCTTCCCACTGAATTTTTTCCTATTGGACTTTAATTTCTCACCACTGGGATATGTGTAGTCATCAATACCTTCAAAAAATACATTTTGGTAATAAATATTGTGTTGCTCTTTTGGAACAAATTATATAAACCATCTCTTTATAAGAAACTCAAATCTTTAAAAAAACAAAAACACCAAACTCCAGGATCACTGGCATCAGTTAATGTGCTTATAACATGCTGGTATGTATATGTGAATGTGGGAATCCACAACTGTGTTAAATGATCACATGCTCTCATATTTATATCTGTGGTTCATTTCAGAAAAACAATTTAGAATATCAGAAACACATGATACATTCTCCCTTTCATCATCATTCACCAATTCCATTTCAACTTTGTTTGAGCAATAGTTTGGTGCCCATACTGAAGGTTAATACACAGCCCTAAAGCATGGTTTCAAATGTTAGTGTGAAGTTGGTTTACAAACTATGATTTGAAGGTTAACATTAACCATTATTGTTGGATGTGAGTGCCATGGCAATCTAGGTTTGTGGGCTTTAAGATCTGCTGTGGAGGCCCTCCTCTCGGTCTCATCTCTATCTCAAGTGCGGTTGGTGGGTATGAGAGAGAGGGCCTTCCCAGTTGTGGCCCCCTGGCTCTGGAATGCCCTTCCTAGAGAAATTAGACTAGCCCCACTCTTCAAGTTTTCAGAACAAATATGAAAACATGGCTCTTTAAACAGGCCTTTGGCCATGTTTAGAACCCTACCTGTTATATTCGAGGACCTAGTGATTTGTTTCACCCTAGTATGCCCTACTTGCACCTTATGGGACTGATGTTAATGACAGTTTTATTTTATATCCACAGCCACTGCTGGGTTTACTGATTCTTTTAAGTCAGTAGGGGTTTTATACAATGTTTTATGTAATTTGTTTATGTGGACTTTATAGTTATAGTGTGATTTTGTTTAAGTGTCTTGTTGTATTTATATGTCTGTGCTACTGAGTGCTTTTGTGAGCTGCCCCGAGTCCCTATTATTATTATTATTATTATTATTATTATTATTATTATTATTATTATTATTTACTGACACAAAACCATTATTATTATTATTATTATTATTATTATTATTATTATTATTGACACAAAGCACAGTATGTCACAGCAAACGAGATCTATATGCTGGATTTCGTATCACAAAATCACAAGTCAAACACTTCCCAAGCGTCTAGGACTGTTATTATTGATTTAGAAAAACCTAAAAATAGACTGCATGAGAAGAAATAGAAGGATGTGAGCTGATATCATGTTCCTAATCCTTTGAGTTGCAATTTTGAGGTTCTTTTGAATTAAACCAGCATTTTGTTTTCAGTCTCAATCTAGAAAAAAATATGTTTATGCAGCTCAGGACAAATTATTGATAGAAAACACTGGACTGTATCAACCTTTCCATCAATACTAAAGATTAGCCATCTGATAAATTATAATATATAACATGAAAATGCCTTCTTCTGTAGTATAATATGACAGGATATCTATTTACTTTTCAAACTAATACTCATTCATCTCATATAGAGTATACTTTCATTTTTCACATTACACATATTAACACATCCTAACCCAGCTAAAATTATTATTATTATTATTATTATTATTATTATTATTATTATTATTAATAACAATCTTTATTTATAACCCGCCACCATCTCCTCAAAGGGGACTCGTGACAGCTAACATGAGGCCAAGCCCAAAATAATACAACATGATTAAGCACAAAATAACAAAAATACATCATAACAAAATATATAAATAACAAATAAAATAAACAATATAAAATAGGATAATCAAATCAAACACCGAGGGCATGCCAGATGTATGAGGTAAAATGTTAAAAGGTTTAAACCCTGGGTGAGATAGGGATAAAAGTGCATTTATAAGAGAAGGAGCCCTGAAGGGAGGAGCAATTGAGTTTGGCCTTATAGGGGGACATGGGAAGGTGCTTTAATCTAAGGGCAGCTATAGGTGGAACAACCAGATGGGTTGAGTGGTCACTCTCCGAAGGCACATCGGAACAGCCAGGTTTTTAGATCTTTCTAGAAAGCAGCTATGGTAGGGGCTTGCCTGATCTCCCTAGGTAGCGAGTTCCAAAAGCGGGGGGGTCACAGCAGAGAAGGCCCTCTCCCTCGTTCCCACAAGTTAAGTAACGATGTGAAATACAATTTAAACATGGTTACTTAGAAATAAGTCCCTTTCAGCTTAGCACTCTAATATATATGTTTAAAATATATATGTTGTTTTAAATTGTATATTGTTTTTAATTGTTGTAAACCGCAATGAGTCGCCGACTTAGGCTGAGATATTAGCGGTATACAAGTGTATTAAATAAAATAAATAAATAAATAAATCTTGTAGGAGGGGTGGCAAATATGGAACCATTCAGTTGAACTTGGATTCTCAACAATTGAGATATGTAAAGCCAAACATGAGAAATAATGGGAATTACAGCCCCTCATTTATAGTCCCACTGATCTCTTGCTTCTGTTGTAGAATATACATGCAATCAATACCATTGCATTTTTAAAGTTCATTGTCATTCTTACATTATATAGATCTTTTCCTTGCCATTCCATATCTACATCTCTAAGTCTTTTTCCTTTGATTTGGATCTTCCACCATCAACCAAAGGTGGCATAAACTCATATTTGACAGTCATAAATGGGCTACAGAAACACCTTTTGTTCATCGAATGCACTGTTAATTGTAATGCTTTGTTATTACCTGCAAATCTTGCCTCTAGCTCTTCACTTTTATTTGGGATGATAAAATTATTTGAAGGCACAAACGTGCAGCAGGGACAATGTAAACTTATCTTAAATCCCAGATTCCTATCTGTAAAAATGTAAAAAAAGAGGGGTTACCTTTAGATCACATATACACATGAAATTATGCAGCCTTTTAAAGCATAGAGAGAGATAAAAAAAGGTTGTTGTACAGTCACCTCGGTGGTGGAGCCATTCTTGTACAGTGTCCGTTACATCAAAAGATAGCCATTCACCTTCAGCATCTGTTTTAACTACTTTGCTATCAATGTAACGTTGCATTGGTGATGCTGGATCTTTGTTTTTGAGAACCTACAAGGAAGAGAAGAAAATATATATTCTGTAGATTTCAGTTTTATTAAGGGGTGAAAAGAGAGTATATAAGGATTGAAAGCAAAATGAGAAGACCATAGAAAATAACTACCCTATAACGAGGTTTCACCATCAGCATATAGGGATATGTAGCATGAAACTGAATTTTAACATGACCCCTGAATATTTTACTGTGACAACTTTGATACAAAAAATAAATTCTTGATTATTTGTGTCCTTATAAAATCTGGATCAATATGAAACAAGATAACCAGTTAGTGATTTTGCTCCTTTTTACATAGAGAAGAAAGCAAGGCCCGCGTTAAAATCTCCAATGAGGGTCCTATGACTGCAGATAGCTTTGGATGTAACAGAACGGTGCAAAGGACAGCTATGTAAATTCTCTTCGAGGAAATGAACATGATCCTATATCTGGCATTTACATGGATTCTATAACTATGGATTCAACTTAAGAATCCATATATTTTGGTAAACATACAAGAAAGGTTTTTGAATCAAACCCCAGCAGATACTAAGGGCATGGTGTTTATATTTTCAAAACCTTGCTTTCAAATCCAACAGCCAGTCAAGGTCAATTAAAATATATTTTACTCCTCAATGCAATGTTGGCAGCCAAAATGTAAAAACTCCAATTGGGTACCATAATGGAGGGGCCATCAACCTGAACAGGCAATGTGAGTTCATGTCCTCATAGAGCTGGTGGTGGAAGATAAAAAAAAAAGATTTCAAGACTAATCAGATTTATCTTGCACAAAACGTGTCATACTGCAGCAAAATGAATCAGATTTTTTGGAGAAAATGGGCTGAAGTCCACAATTGCTAATGCTCAATAATTTTGTTAGTCACTATCATCAGCAATCTTATCATCAGCAATCTTATTTCTTTAGGGTACCACAAGATGCTTTGCTGGTTTAACTGCAACTGACTAACATCAGTATTCAACTTGAAAACTTTTATCACTCTATTGTATGGAAATGAGGATTGATTTCCAAATAACTGTGAAAAATGGAGAAACAAGCATGTATGACTTAAGATATGAATATAACAATAACAAAACAGCCCAACAAATGTCTTGGTGTCTTGGTTTTGAGGCCTGGATTCAGAAAATCCAGGGGCACTGATTCAGAAAATTACATTGCATAGACCAATTCAGCTCTAGTTTGTTAGATATGGTTATCATGGTTTTCTATGGGCAAGCAGACAACGACTGGTAGATGGCATATGTTTGTATCTCAAAAACTAGAGCTGATAAAGGAAACTGGTGCCATTTTTCGAATCAGCATTTCCAATATACCCCGAAACAGGGATAACATTTGAGGAACCAAAATGTGTTGGCCAATATAATGAATTACAAGTTTTTGAACAACTACAAAGGAAAATTAAGAAAGAATGTGCAAAAGCAGGGTTACTGTTGAACATTAAGACAACAAAAATAATTACCACAAAATATTTATATAATTTTAAAGTGAGTGAAGAAGACATCAACATAATTAAAAAGTTCTATAAATACCATGGGATGACAAAAACACAAATAAATAAGTCTCACAACAAACCACCAGATCACTTTGATGATCTCTCACTAGAAATGAAAATTAACAATTGAGTTTGGACATGAGATGATATACTGTTGTTGATAACTGCCATCAAGTCTACTTCAACTTATGGTGACCCTATGAATGAGAGACATCCAAATAACTTTGTCATCAACAGGTTCAGCTCTTGCCGACTCAAGGACGTGATGTCCTTGACTGAGTCTAACTGTAGCTCAGTCTTGCTCTTTTCATAGTACCTTCTACCTTACAAAGCATTACTGTCGTTTTCTTGTGAGTCATGTCTTCTCATAATATGTTCAAAGTATAACAGTCTCAGTTCAATCATTTTGATTTCTAGAGTGAGTTCAGGTTTGATTTGCTCTAGGACTTATTGATTTGTCTTTTCAGCACTCCATATCCATAGAACTCTTCTCTAGCATCAAATTTCAAATTAGTTAATTTTCTTCCTATCAGCTTTCACAATAATACAAGGAAATTGGAAATATAAGGGCATGGATGATCTTGACTTTAGGAATGATATGTCTTTACACTTCAGGATCTTCTCTAATCCCTTCATAGCCGTCCTTCCAAGTCCTAGTCTTCTGATTATTTGATTACAGTCTCCGTTCCGATTAATGGCTGAGCCAAGGCATAGGAAATTTTGAACTATTTCAATGTTTTAATCATCTACTTTAAAGTTATGTAAATCATGTGGTATTTTTTTTTGTTTTTGTAAGGTTCAATTGTAAACTTGCCTGTGAACTTTCTTCCGTGACTTTCTTCAGTAACCATTCCAAGTCTTTGCTGTTTTCCGCTAGTACTATGATATCATCGGCATATCTTAAATTGTTGATGTTTCTTCTTCCAATTTTCACACTGCCTTCCTCCAAGACTAATCCTATTTTAAGTATGATATGTTAAACAAATAGGATGATAAAAGATTGCTTGCCAGATCTCTTTGCCAATTGGCACGCATTCCCTTTCTCTGTATTCTGTCCTGATGGTAGCTTCTTGTTTTGAGTGCAGGTTACTCATTGGGACAATTAGGACACACAAAGAAACTGAGGTGGGGAAAATGCATGGTTTCGGTGACCTCTGAAAACCTTGTTGTGTCCCGTGATCCTTTCACACTACACAGTTAATAACACTATGAGTCCACTTTAACTATTCTGGAACCATTCTATGGAATTCTGGGGTTTGTCATCTGATGCAGCAGGAGAGTAGTTCTCACTCTTTCATCCTCTGGGTGTTTTAGACTTCAGCTCCAAAAAGCTCCAGCAACCTTGGCCAATAGCCAAGGATTTTGAGAGCTGCTGTCAAAAACATTTAGTGCAGTGCTTCTCATGCTATCTAATGTGAGAGACGGGTAATTTTTCACCAATATGCCAGAGCCTAAATTTGAGCCCCTTGGGTACAATCACATATTTCTCAAAAATTTGCAAGGGACTGGCATTTATCCAGAGTCTACCACTTTGAGTAGAACTAATCTAAAGGACAAAAGGTTTAAAACTTTGAATTTTAAACTGAATCTCTCAAAAATGCAGAATGTACGCATCTTAATTTTTAAAAACCCCAAATTTTCAAATTAAAAGTGACCCACACATCACAATCTTGAGCAGTTGTACCATTTGGTTACACTCTAGAGTCATTCTAGCCAGAGTATGAAAAATGTACTTTATGAACTACGGTCAAAAAGTTCTGAATCCACAGATTCTGAATCCACAGATTTAATGATCCATAGCTTGAAAATACCCCCCCCCCCCAATCAAAAAGTAAATCTCAATTTCGTCATTTAAACGAGGAATCGCATCTTACTATGCTATTTTTATATAATCAGATTTGAGAATGGGTTAATGCTGGCAATCAGGGGGGTGCTGTAAACAAAGTCCAACAGAAACCAACGGTCCCATATACTGCTACTCTACCCAATATGGTCATTGGAGTATTTTTCTAATTTCAGTTGAAAAGTAAACATTTGTAAGTTCTGGCCATCTAGTGCAATGTTTCTCAACCTGAGGGTCAGGACCCTTAGGGAGGGTCACAAGTAGGGAAGGGTGTCAGAAAGACCATCAGAAAACACAGTATTTTCTGTTGGTCATGGGGTTTCTGTGTGGAAAGTTTGACCCAATTCTATCATTGGTGGGGTTCAGAATGCTCTTTGATTGTACGTGAACTATAAATCCCAGCAACTACAACTCCCAAATGTCAAAGTCTATTTTCCCCAAACTCCACCAATGTTCACATTTGGGCATGTTGAATATTCATGCCAAGTTTGGTCCACATCCATCATTGTTTGAATCCACAGTGCTCTCTGATGTAGGTGAACTACAACTCCCAAACTCAAGGTCAATGCCCACCAAAGCCTTCCAGTATTTTCTGTTGGTTGTTGGAGTACTGTGTGCCAAGTTTGGTTCAATTCCATTTTTGGTAGAATTAGGAATACTCTTTGATTGTAGGTTAACTGTACATCCCAGCAACGACAACACCCAAATGATAAAATAAACCCCTCCCCCACCCCACCAGTATTCAGATATGGGCATATTGGGTACTTGTGCCAAATTTGGTCCAGTGAATGAAAGTACATTCTGTATATCAAATATTTATATGATGATTCATAACAGTAGCAAAATTACAGTTATGAAGTAGCAACAAAAATAATTTTATGGTTGGGGTCACCACAACATGAGGAACTATATTAAGGGGTCGCGGCGTTAAGAAGGTTGAGAAACACTGATCTAGTGTGAACAGGAAGAGCAAGATAAAGCCTGACTTTCAACCTGAGATAACTAGCAGCATATTTAGAGTGTATAAGTACTCTGGTGTACAACGAGAGAAAACTATCCCTCCACTCCCAATAAATCTTTATCGAGTAGGTTGTGACTACAGGTAGCTGTGTAGGTCATTAGTTAGATTCTTAGACTAAGCCGGTGCTTTTACTCAACATATTTCATAGTTTATTATTACATACTTTCCATCATCTCACTGATGAAACTGAGACTTTGTGGCCAAGCATCCTCAACGTGTAGTCAAAGGCAAAACAACAATTAAGCAAACATTATTAATGAAGAAAAATATACAAAACTATTTTTTTGTATTCTGAGGTGACTAAATAAACTTACTGTGAACAGTAAACCTGTACCACTCTCCTCCTCTCCCTTCTGTTGAGCACTTTGAACACAGATTTCAGCAACTGACTTAAAGAGAGGACAAATTAAGAAAGTGGGAGAGGACAGAGCATTTCGAAATCAGTGAGAAAGTAGGATGAAAAGGTATCAATTGGGGCAGTCCTTGCCAAACTGGGGTGGTTGGAGGGAATGAAGGAAGCATCATCTCAGCCCCTCCTTTTTGGCACAGTCATGGGGGAGTTCATTTCTTTGGCCAAAGAGGAAGCTTGAAAGACAAATAAAAGTACTGCCATACAATTCAAACAATTCACTAAAATACAGC